TTACAAAAATCAAAATAGTATATAAAATAAAATAAAACAATAGATTTTTATTTTGTTATTTTTATTTTTATTTTGTTACAAAAACAAATTCAAAATTTGATAAAAATAAATAAAATAGAAAGTAAATTAATTACTTACCTTATTTATTTGCCGAACAAATCTTTGATCAAGTCTAGTGTTTAGCATTGTGTCCTTAAGACAGATTTTTCCTCTCCACAATACTTTCAGATTGTGGACGTCTATCTCCCAAGATAAAATGATCAACAACGAATAGTAACAGCACTACAAACTATTCGCACAACAAACACACTTTGTGTTTACACTATTTCTCACAGGAAAATAATGCAGCAAAATGCAGAGAGAGCAACGGCAGAATTAAGGACGAAAAATTAAGTGAAAAAATCAATTGAGGGACTGCTTATTTATAGATGGATTAGTGGCTGTTCGATTTGAATCCAATAAGTAGAAGACCTGTTTGAAAAGTACAAAACCTATTCGGTTTTGAATGAACAGATACAGGTTTGAATTTTGAACAGATTCAGATCTATTTGGACAGATATGGAGCCTGTACAGAAATTCTGAAGAGGCACAAACCAAATTTGAATTTTCCTCCAACTGAATTTTGGAAACAAAGCTGGACAAATTTTATTTTCCAAATAATAAAATTAAATTCAAATGTTTTGGCCCAAAAGGATAAGTATCGGGCCGGACAAGCCCAACCCAATCTCACACAACGCACCCAAGCCCAGCTCAGACGGACGGCGGCGACACTCGTGCGTGTGTTTACTTTGGGTCCAATAGGTCTAACTCACTTTGCCTATAACCTCACCATTCCACAAAACTTGGGTATCCCTTGGGGCCCTCTCCAAGTTGCAAACTCAAGTCTTACAAACCCACAAAAGTTTGCCTACCAAACCAATGTGGGACAAGCATTTAATTCAAACCTTTAAGGAATTTTCACAAAAAACTCCATTTCCATGGAGTTCACTTTGGTTTCAATTTTTCATTTGCCCGATAATGGTATTGAGCAACCAAATATACTACGTAAATCACAAGCCGGCATAGAATGCATTACCACTTAGACCCGCCAACTTTGGCACATGAGTCCCATCTAAAAATTAGACCAAAGTTGAGGAAAAATCTGTTTTCTCTAAAACCAATTCTAATAGTATTTAGTGTTGACTGAAGTGATATTTACAAAAATTTATTTTTTTAAATATATTATTAAATTGTTTTTGAAATAATATTTTTAAATGATAATATTCTTTCAACAGTAATATTTCAAACGATCAAATGGGCTAAGTCGAATAAGTAATAGTAAATATGAAGCAAGCGGAGATGTAACAAGCAGGTATAGGCACAATAACGGGAAGATCATTTGCCTAGCAATGAATGTTACTTATTTGTAGAGAGCTAAAATGAAATGTCTCTTGTGATGTAGAGCCTTTGGAAGAAAACCAAAACAGTAGAGTCCTTTAGGGGATGACCAAAATAACTTCATTATAAAAAAAAAAATGAAATGTCTCTTGTGATGCAGAGCCTTTGGAGGAAGACCAAAACAGCAGAGCCTTTACGGAAAGACCAAAACAACTTTACTATAAAAAATGCCTCATAAATGAGGGTTCTTCCCTTTATATAGTTTTTCATCTCTTTAATGGATGGTTAGGATTAATTTGATCCAATGATGATCATTATTATTCTAAAATATTTTAGAATCATTTTATCATTCTATTATATTTTAGAATTCTCTAAACCATTCTACTGCTGGTTAATTTTTTTTTTTTATATATTTTTTAAAAATATTCTACACCTTTCGAATTCTTCTAGAGTTCTAAACCACTACTGATGACCATTGGATTCAATACTTATTTAATCCTAAAGAAAGATGATAATGATATAGTAAATATTAATGATGACCGTTCGGTCATCTATTACATCAATATTGTATTGAGTGACACATGAAATAATATAGTAAATACTAAATAAAATGATAATAAACATAGCATCATTGTTATAACATTATTTATAAAAATTATAATTAATTTAAGGGTGTGGAGAGAGTGGATGGGAGGATTTGAGTTCGTTAATGGCTTCTGAGTTCATGACTCGATTATAAAATTTTCATATAAATCTGGGGACATTCATGAAAATTTGATCAATTAAAAGAGAATTGGAAAAATAAAAATAAAAATAAAAATTTGAGTGCTGTTTGGGATTGTGAATAGATTCTTTTCTTGAATTCTATTTCTTATTTTTTTTTTTTTTTCTTTTTTCTTTTTTCTTTTTTGGCATTTTGTGTTTGCAAATTGCAAAGCGGTAGCAATGTGGATATATATCAATAATGTCAGTAATCATCTTTGTATTGCGTTTCATTGTACGTCATAATTGGCAATCAAGAGATCAATGAAGAAAATGTACTCATGTTGATAGGTGCGTATATGCCCAAGGTAAAATTTTGATGTTTCCAATTATTGAGATGAACTCTATATAAGAGCATTTTTAATGGTATTTGTTATAATATCATTGTTATTCTTATAATTTAGTAATGAATAATAGTAATTTGTTAAATTATAGTAATGGTGCTCTAATAGTACATATTCTATTTTGACAAATCTCAACCAAATTCTCTCTAAATTTGTAGATATTGCTCTGATATAAATTTTTTAGTGATTTTATTTATTTATTTATTTTATTTTTTGTGACCTTTTTATAACTATTTGAATTTTTTTATATGTATTTGTATTATACTCGACTAGACAAATATAAAAAACGAAAAAGAAATTGAAAAATTAAAGAAAAAATTAAATATAATTTATCCTACCAAAAAAATGAACCATTACAAAAAATAAATAAAAAATTACAAGATTTAGCAATCTAAAAAATTTGGAGTCAAATTCTGTTTATTTGGATGATGTGACAAATTTGGCAATTGTCAAACTTGTTGCCAAATTTGAGAGATGAAATGATATTTGCTAAATTTGGCAAGGGTTATAGCAATCTATTGGAGTAACATTTTTTAGAACTCTTGTCAAATTTTGACAATAGCAGCTCAAATAGCTTACCATTAGAGATGCTCTAAATTTACAATAATATCTTAAACTGGATCCTTTAATTCAATTAATAGACTAGTGGGAAGCCATCTTCAATAAACAATTATCAATATATTTGGGGTGTTTGGCAAAGCCTCTTTTTGAGCTTTTTGGACTAAAATTTACGAAAAAGATAAAATAGATTAAATTAGTTAATAAGATAAAATATCACATCAAATTCATAATCATTTTACTTTTTCTCTCACTAATATCACATCAAATTATAAAAAAATCTAACTATCTTCCCAAACACAAAAATTTTAATCTACTAAAATAGTTAAAAACTAAAATAGCAATGTCCCAAACACTTAGGCCTGACCAGTTTAGTCAAAAGTCAAAAAGTTAGGCCTCGTTTGGGAACCCTCATTTTTAGCCAAAAAGCCAACAATCCATACCAAAAAGTCAAAGATTCTCTTTTTTCTCTACTTTTTGCACATCTTTTCGTAAAAAGTCAAAAAGTCATCCATACCAAAAACCCTCATTTTTAGTTCATATTTTAGCTAAATAGCCAAAAAGTTACTAAATTAGTCTGTTCCCAAACGAGGCCTAAAAATTCAAAAAGCCAACAATCCATACTAAAAAGTCAAAGATTTTATTTTTTCTTTTTTTTTGCACATCTTTTCGTAAAAAGTCAAAAAAATCATCCCAAATATACTAATTTTTTTTACATCATATTTTAGTTAAAAAATCAAAAAATTACTAAAAAAACATGTTCCCAAACGAGGCCCACATTATATTTTTATAAAGGATCCATTGTTGGGCAAAAAAGATTGCAAGGGTTGTTTTTCAAAATTATTTTATGAAAAAAAAAAAACAAGGGTCATAAATGTATGAAAACAAGTAAAAAAAATAATATATAAATTAACAATATTTTAAATCAATGGGAACTTAAGTATAGATCTTAATAAATAAACTAATTATCCAATAGGTCCTATGATAATTAATGGCAGTTTTTATCAAACACTATTAAAAAACGTCGCTAATTATTAATTTTCAATGACAGTTTAAAAATTGTCACTAATTATAAGTTTTAGCAACAATTTTAGAAAAATATCATAAAAAAGTCACTGATTTTTAATTTTCAGTGATGATTTGAAAAATTCATCACAAAAAAAGAGTCACTAATTGTCAATTTTTAGCGAGACATCTAAAAAATCATCCTCAAAATTATTTTTAGCGACAATTATATTAAAATTTATTTTTAATAGGACTTGATGAGAATTAAAACTAATTGGTAGTTTTTCTTTAAATCATTTGACATGCAGAATAATGACTTAATTAATATATATAGTGAATTCTTAATACTAACCAATCAATATTTGGCATTGACATGGCAGTCGATTTCAAGCCGACTGTAGCATGAATAATAACGCACGGTTTTGTTGAAAAAAAAATTGTTTCTTTAAAATGTCAATCGTGTTGTACTGTTTAGACTTAAATCATTTAACATGCAGAATAATGATTAATTAATATTATAGTGAATTCTTAATACTAACTAATCAATATTAGACATTGGCAAGAAGCCGACTGTAGCATGAATAATAACGCACGGTTTTGTTGAAAAAAAAATACTCCTTAAAGTAAAAATGTGAAAAATATTATTTTTGATGAAAACTCAAGCTCAAAATAAATTACTAAGCAGGTCCTTAGCAAGGATTTTTGTACTAACATAGCACAAATGAGAAAATGATCTACAACCAGAAAGACAGAGAGCACATGCTGTATTTTATGGCATACAATCTTTGCAAGCAGAAAACAAGGTCATTAATAAACATACCTCACATGTGAGTGATATGATAAATTGTGGGAAAACAAATAAAAAGGAAAGCATGAACAATGCATAAATTCATGAGAAGGTAGACAGCAAATTCCCATCAAGTATAGAGAGCTAGTCAAAAAAATTCGGAGCGTGATATGTGATGTGGCTATTCAGCAATAAAAACAAGGGTTAGTTACACTATAACCCCTATGCTTAATCTAAAAACATATTACCCCATGACATTTAAAAATGTACACAACCTTGGAGTGCAAAATTGGCGAATTCCATCAAAATTGGCAAATACACGAGCGGGATTGAATGTGTATGATAAATTTAGAGTGTTCAATGACAATTTTACCCCCTATTTTTTTCTTTACTTTTCTCTTTCCTCCTCCCCCTTCTTCCTCACGCTGCAACCAGCAGCAATCTCACTCACCAATTCAATTGTCTTCTCTTCTTTCTGACTCTTTATTTTTCTTATCTCTCCTTTACCTGTTGAAGCCCCCACATATCAAGAACAACAAGCAACAACTGTTCGTGAGATGAGACAACCAGCCACTGTATAATGCAATTAAACAACATTCAAGAAGCAGCTTTCACAAACACAAGCTTATAACAGTTGAAAACTGTTAGAATAGATGCTACTTTATTTTATTGTTATTAAAACTCGATATTGCCTTCAACGATCAAATTAAGTTTTGAACTGTTAGAAGACGAAAAAGAAATAATCCGAAACATACAAAATAGTTGCAGCTTCTAAACTCTACATTAGATGATTATATGATGTCCCAATACAAGATCACTAATCTTCACCAAGAAATATAAAATACTATCTAAAACATAAGATAATTCTACAATGTATTTCGAAAATCTAGTTCCTGTCTACTACTAGAGTATAATTGCTAAAATAAATGCAAGAATACTCTTTCAATATTTTCTTATTTCTTACCGAAGAAGAAAATATCGAGATAAAAATTGTACGCTACTTTCTCAGGTTTTATCAAATTAACGTATCTACTGGAAAAAAAGAAAGAAAGAGGAAACTAAGTAGGAAGCACAAATGTGATATTCCAAAATACAACATATTTGAGAAGCTATTTATAAGCAAAGGAACTTACTTTACTATTGCTCTTCGCACTTTCCGAAATTCTGATGTTGTGTTATGGGTTTGTAGACCCACTCAAAAATCATTGCATGATAACAATCCTGTGAATTTAAGTTTAACACGTGAAACTGCTGAAAGAACTGCAAAAAAGGAAACGTGCAAATCCTTTAAAATAATGGAACTATAATCCTGAAAATACAACTTTTCTAAAAATAGAACAAATAGAGAAGTCCTTGCAAATAGAATTGAAAAAGCCTTCACATATCCGTTGTGTTTCATCACTTAGAATTCAGGGGGAAAAGAAAGAAAAATATCCATCATAGAACTGATATAAAACACAACTTTTAGGCATGGAATAGTCATTCTCACTCTTGCACACCAAAAAATAATTCTAGTAACACAATCTTTGGTTAAGATTCTTTACTTTACCCCCATAATTTTTGTTATACACAGGCTTGACTCACTGAATTTTCACATAGACAGACAAAGGCAATGAGTCTACATGTATAAATAATGATGATGACAGCTATAATGATAAAAATTTAGAAGACAAGTGAGCTGTCCATTAAAGAACCTTACAGCAGTTCAATAGCACAGTTAGCAGTGTTTTTACAGTTACTGTAAATGGAGTTGGGCTGCAATGTCACTGCTCTCTTTCAGTCAAATTGTCTATTCTTGCTAAATTTGCTCCCAAAACCCAATTGTTTTGTTATGGTTTTTGTTAGGTGGAAAATTACGACTAATGTGTGTGTGCACAAGCATGTAGACAGTCCTCCTTGAATTGGATGAGAACACAAAAATATAATTATTAAAACCCCAATTCTCAATCAATTACTCTGTCAAATATTTCCGACTTTGCAGACTCAACCATATTAGTCAACTGGAAACAAACTGGAAATATATTAGTCAACTGGAAATTCACCCACTTTTCAGTAACTTGACTTTTTTTTTATTGTAATTTCTCCTAAAAAAAGTAAATCACACTTTCTGTAACCAAAAAAAAAAAAAAACTCCATTTCATCTGTTCTATAGAAAAGATTAGTGATAAATAGATAAATAAATTATTTAGATGATAAGACCCACTTTCTAGCCATATTGTCCTAATCTTCAGTTTAGGATAAATAATTTGATTAAGTCAACTTGTTTTCATCCTCCAACTAGATTCTTTCCTTTTTTTTTAAATTTTTTTGATCCAGATATCTCATCTGATTCCTATTAAATCACTTAGCCTAACTACTACTTGACCATTAATTAATGCCATGCAACATTAATTCCAAACAAAACCTTTGTGCAATCTCTGTAATCTAAGCTTATGTCAAAATCATTTTTGTTGCTTTACAAATTTTTTTTAGCTATAGGAAGTCTAATTCAATCACCTACATATTCCCAAGTATCGTTTTCAGAATATGTGTATGTGTATATATACACATATATTGAAATCCAATCTACTTCTTATCGGTTTCGCTTAAAACCCAAGGAGAAAGAGTTCTCTGTAGTGAAAATTCACATTTCACCAACCAAATTGAAAAACAAATCCTTTATAAATTTCAAACCAACTTCACATCTACTCAATTGAGGCAAAGAAGAGGACTTTATTTTCTTTTCCTTCTCAAGACTGTCGAAAGAAAATGTAAGAAGACATGTTCTTGAGAAGAACAGAAGTCCTAGAGAAAAAGAAAAGACAAACAATGGATTATTATCCAAACACCTAAAGAAAGTTTACCCGATTAGCCTCCACAAGAGCATTTCGACTCTATCCCTTTCTTCACTATCTTTATCTTTGTCACAAAACTCAAATGATTCTTCTCTCACAGATTCTACTATTTCACTGGACCAGAAAATTTCGTTGGCACTGCAGTTGATCAGAAAATCTAAACATGTTGCATTAAAATCTGCAGTCACATAAAATGCTACATTTCAAAGTCTTTGCATAGTTCACATTGAACCCTCACTTTTTATATGCAAAATTGGAAATATATCAGGAAACCCTCACTTTGATATATATCAGTCAACTGAAAACAAACTGGAAATATATCAGTATGACAACTGGAAACTAACTCCAAAAAAAAAAAAAAAAAGCCAACTGGAAACAAACAGTCAAGTTACCAAAACCCAAAAGTATACTCATTAAATTTTTTTTTAAAAAAAAGCAGAAGAAGAAATATATCAGAAACCATTGGCCATCAGAGAAGTATCGAATAAATTGATTTAAACAGATCCATATAGGCTGTAGCTCCCCAAATAGGAGATTTTTGTGGTTGGATGCCTCAGAAAATGAAAATGCTAAAGACTATATTGATAATATTTTTGGAAGAGCCCCATCCTAGTTAATTTAGTTATGGGAATATCAAATTTCCATCGAATTCTTTTCAATTTGTAACTCAATTGGAGTTCTATTGCTTCAAATCAAAATACCCACTACACACAATTTCCATTAGAGTTCTTCAAATTTGATTTTAAATCTGAATTACATGAACACAGCACACAAAGGGCAGAGGAAGAGTAATTTAACTCACACAGAGATATGATCTAATCAATCACATATACAGATAGATAGATTATAGAGAGAGAGTACCAGGATCGAAGGGGGTCTGCACAACCGACTCGTTTTTCTTTGTCAGAGAGATGGGAGACGGAAAGCCCTTGCGAGATTTAGGGGCCAAAGAGCTGCCTCTGCAGATACCATTCTGCCTCTGCAGATTTAGAGGCGACAAACACTCACCTGAACCCAAATCACAGAGGGAGACAAGAAAACAGAGACACATAGAAGAGACCGAATAGAGAGAGAGAGAGAAACAGAGGGCGATGGCGAGTGTGGTCTGAGGATCTGTGTGAGAGAAAGACAGTTGGCGATGGCGATTTACGGCGGTGGCGATGTGCGACGGATTCGGTGAGCGAGAGAGTGGCACCGATTGAGAGAGAGAACACAGAGTGCAAGCCGATTGAGAGAGAGAACACAGAGAGAGGGAGAGTTGGAGACAGAGGAGATCAGGGCGGAATAATTTTTTTTTTTTTTTTGTTTTCCAGGTACAAAACGACGTCGTTTTTACTTTGGCGACCAAATTTTTTTTGTCGCCAAAAAATTTTATTTCCCCTCTCCCTGTTTGAAATTTCCCTCCCAAACACTTTTGGCGACCAAAACACCATATTGGTCGCAAAAAAAGTACCTTCGGCAACAAGTTTTTTTAGTTGCTAAATCTCAATCAACGCCGACTAAAATATTAGTCGCTAAAAGTACAAATTTGGCGACTAAATTTTTTTGGTCGCCAAAATGTAACCTTTGGCGACCAAATTTGTAGTTGGTCGCGAAAAGCATACCAATTTCTGCGACTAACTCATTTTTGGTCGCCAAAATGTGACCTTCTGCGACCAACTCATATTTGGTCGCCAAAAATATTGATCATTCGCGACTAATTAATATTTGGTCGCCAAATGTCATTTTTTTGCGACCAAAATTTTTTTAGTCGGCAAAAGTGGTCGCCAAATGTGTAAATTCTTGTAGTGTCACACTTTCAAATAGTGCATGTGAACAAAATTGGACTCCATTATTGCTTAGTTATTGTTTTGACTTTTTCTAAGTTATGACTCAGGTTGAAATTACCAATGCTTTAGTTATGATCTATAATTATGAAGCAATTTATCAACTCATTTGTTCGTACGCATAAATTAATTATAAAATTTAATGTCAACCAACTAATATCATTATATAATGCACAAATAAACAGAGTTTATTTTAGATCTCCAACCTAATATCACTATATTAATAATTCCCTCACTCAGTTATATTATACTAATAATCACCTTACTTAAACAAGCATGACATTAGTGTTGTCATTAGCATGACTTTTTTTGTAATAATCGGATACTTAAAACATTCGATTAATCTTGAGACCCATAGAGGGGTAGTTTGGCAATGGCTTTTTGGCTAAAAAAGTATAAAAAAATAAAATAGATTAAATAAGTTTATATGACAAAATATCACACTAAAACCATAATTATTTTACTTTTTCTCTTACAAAAATTAAAAAAACCAAAAAAACTAAACTAAACAAACTTTTAATCTCAAACTATAAAATAGTCAAAAATTAAAAAATTAACTTAAAAAAATTAATTGCCAAACGGCTAACACAAAGTGTCCTCCACCTGCCTGCATATTATTGCAAGTTGAAAATAATAATTTAAACTTATAATACAATTATCTAACAATACAAATTAAACTTTATAATACAATTATCTTACAATTATCCACCTGTGTGAATTCTTACAATTGTTATTAATTTTTTAAAGTTTGTTTAACATGTATCTTAAAATCACACCTTTAAATTAAGTATAATTTTAATAAGTAATGTTATAACAAAAATGCTATGTTTATTATCATTTTATTTAGTATTTATTGTATTATTTCATGTGTCACTCAACACATGATTGAATGGTCATGATGGCATCGTTTAGAAAGTTGGTTATTTTAATAGACTATTTTAATTTTTGACTATTTTAGTATATTAAAGTTTTTGTATTTGAGAAAATAATTAAATTTTTTTTTATGTTGTTGAATATGATGTTTATAAGAGAAAAAATAAAATAATTGTGAATTTAATATGACATTTTATTTTATTAACTATTTTAACTTATTTTATCTTTTTACAAATTTTAGCCAAAAAATAAAATTTATGCTAGAAATCTCAAATGATTTACTAAATTTTATATCAAACTTCTCATATAAGTGTGAGATCCACACACATGAAATTGTGTGATTCTCACGCCTATATTAAAAATTTGATAAACTATTTAATAAAACATTTAAAATCCATAACATTTTCAAAAAAAAATAATCCAAAACTCACTTGACAGAGAGGGCCAATGTATTTAAACACTTGTCAGAGAATTTTTTTTTATTTATTTAAACTTGTCAGAGGATTTGTGTTTATTCTCTTATTGATTTTTGTATTATTTAACTTTTTCTCTGAAATAATTTTTCCTTCCACACCCAATCATTCTTCTTGAAATCCAGACCCATCACTCATCTCGAGGAGATGAGGCTTGCCCTGTTGCCACGTGTCTCCCAACTCACCTTTATCCCCTATATATACATACGTTTTGGCTTCCTCTTTCTCATACTCTCTCATCAAACAGATAGCATTAATTCATCGTTTGATCAAACCCACCTTCAATCACAACCATTCACCATGTCGGATGATCAATCAAGACCCATAACCCAGAAACCCAATGAAACATCTCCAACCTCTCGGCACTCCATTATGCTCTTAACAACATCAGCAATTGGTGCTGCACTCTTGTTCCTGTCCGGGTTAACCTTAACCGGGACAGTGATATCCCTGGTCATCGCTACTCCGGTTTTGATCTTGTTCAGTCCAATACTATTCCCAACTGGGATAATAATATTCTTGGCCACCGCCGGATTCTTGTTTTCCGGTGGCTGCGGCGTGGCGGCAGCTGCGGCATTGGCGTGGTTGTACAATTACATTGCGGGAAAACGGCGGTGTGGGGCGGTGGCGGAGCAACTCGATTATGCGAGGATGAGGATTGCTAGCAGGGCTAGGGATATGAGGGAGAGGGCTAGAGAATATGGTCAGAAAGTGCAGCAGAACAAAGCTCAGAGTCAAGAGGTTAATCAGGGGTCAGAATCGAAAGATGGTGGCGGCGGCGGTGGCGGTGGCGGTGGTGGTGGTGGTGATGGTGATGGTGTTGATGGTGGCAGCGGCGGCGGCAATGGCGTTGATGGTGGTGGCAGCGGTGGTGGCGGCAATGGTGGTGATGGTGGCGGTGCCGGTGACGGTGGTGGTGGAGATAGCTGATGTGTTCTACTACTAGCTAATGGCGGTGGTTTATGTCTGGCAGTATGTTATGTTGATTTGCATGCATGGATTGGGGTTATGAACCTGTTCTTGATCTCTCTCTCTTTAATAAGTTTAAGCGAATGTGTTTTGTAAGTGAATGTGTATTGTAGCATTATGATGCAAATAATGGTGCAGCCACGAGTGTGCCTGTTAGAAAATGATTTATATGTTGTTTTTGTGAAATGATTAATTTAGTTAGTTTATTTTTATTTTTTTTTATAGGACGTGTAAACAATGAAAAAAAATCAGTTGGCTTGTTTTTAGTTTTCTGCGACCACTTTTCAGAACATTTTATTTTTTTATTTTTCATATTTTTTTTTAGTGAATTTTTTTAATATTTTAAGTAATTTTTTTAATTTTTAGACACTTAACATAAATACAAAAAAATATATAATTTTTGTAAAAAAAATCTTTTAAAAATTCACTAAATACTAAAAATAAAAAAAAAAACAAGAATTCAGTATATTTTTCATATTTTTATATATTTATTAATTTTTTACTTTTTAAATATATCTAAGTAAGGTACATTTAAAAAAGTAAAAAAAATTCTTAAAATTTTAAAAATATTTACTAAAAACAAAAAAAAAATACAAAAAATAAAAAATTCAACTTTGAAAAAACTTAATCAAAAAACTCAAACCAAATACACACATTAATTTTTTTATAGGAAATTTTTTTTTTGGGTTAAAAAAATCTATTGTCAAAAAAGTTTTAATTAAAAATAGTAACGATTAAGGTCCTACTAATATAGTCCTTTTAATTTATCTTTTTTCTTTTCTTTTTTTCATACAGATTTATCGTTAAATTTAACATAGAAAAAACGAAAAAAATTGAACAACAAAAACTTTAAACATGAATCCCTTTTACTTTGGATTTGGACCTTTTTTTTTTTAAATTTAAGACCCTAAACATTAATTGTTGAGGATCAGCGATCCTGCCCAAAACGTTTCAGAAATCATACTAAGCAGAAAAATACACTCACACCCAAAGAAGCACAATAGTTAACGTAGTTCGGTCTCAATACTTACGTTCACGGGAAAGTAACTGGTTATCACAATAACAATGCAGATATTATAGAAAAATTATATAAAGATTACAATAAAGGAGGAGTTCACACCATCCTTACTCACCCACCTCCCTCTCTCACACCGAGAGAGAGTGTCTCTCTACCTCGCATCTCTCACTCTCTCTCGGTTTGCTCTCTTTCTCCCTCTGCTCTCTCTTCCTCTATTTATACACTGAAGAGCATGGTGGAGAGCTTGGCTGGCGTTGCACATGGCTAGTTGTTCCTTCACTTTCGGTGGCCATCCATCTTTACGGCTTGTCGGTTGGCAAGGTAACCGTTTCTCCTTGACTCCATGACTTCCATTCACACATCGAACAGAAACCCAACATTAATCACTTGAGATTGCTTGTAAATATCTTAATATTGGTATTAGTTTCTCATAATATATCATTTTTGGTAATATCATCCAATTATTTTATTTATTCATGCTTTTCTTATGCTAATATTCATTAGCTAGGTTATTAAATTCATTAATAATAACCTAGTTGGTGAATACCAGAGCTAGTGACATGGTAGCGACTAAAACGTAAATTGCTTGTCTTTCTTTCCTCACCAAGTATAGCATGACGAGTTCAAGTTACGGAAACTCCAGGTTAAATTTCGTGTATTTTACTTCCATACACCTCGTCTGGTCAATGCAGGAGTTTCATCTTTCACAAATTTACCAAGAAGGACTTCTTAAGTTACAAGCCAAGGAATATGAGAAGGCTCGTGAACTATTAGAATCCGTGTTAAAAGATCCTTTTATTTCTAGTGCACAAGGATCATGTGCTCCAAAGGATCACTAGATCATCATGCAACTTATTGGGTTGTCAATAGTTTCTCACTTTTGCTTTTCTTTGTTTTAGGTGAAAAGTAGTGCCAGTGACAGTCATCTTTTACAACTCAGGTTTAAATTTATCCTCCAATTATTTTTTTTTAATGTAGTTTACTTATAATGTAACGACCCCAAAAATGCGTATTAGAAGTTACCTTTATGTAATTATGGGTTAATGTGCTTTAATTTAATTATATCTGTTCGAATTGAAAATTATCTATTGAGTTACAACTTGAAAATTGAAATTGCCGACCTTTATGGGTTCAGAAATCGAAATTGGGTACATAGATATGTTAAGGGAAATTTTTAGAGCTAACTGGGAAAGTTAATTGGAAATTTGTTTTGTCTGATTCGTTAAGGTATGTTTAGATAGTTAACTTTGCATTGCAAATTGAAGCCTTAGAGGCTTCAGAAACCAGAACATACTACATATTTATGATCAGCAAAAATTTTAGAGTCAACTGGGAAGTTTAATTGAAATTTGATTTTGTGCGATTCGTAATGGTGCGTTTGGCTATCTCTATTTATGATAAGCTTATGTGTGTGGTATATATACATAGGTATGCCATATGAGTTGTTGAACTCATCACTTTGGGTCAAAAATATCTAAGGGAGCGGGAAGAGAACCATGAGAGAGAGAGAGAGAAGGGAGGCAAAGCTTCTCTAAGAGAGAGAGCCCACCATTCATGAGGGTTTGAAGCTAAATGGAAGAGATTGAAGAGAGGGGAAGAAGATCAACCATGAAGCTTGGGAAAATTGAAGGGATTAAGGGGAAAAGCAAGGATTTGGGTTAAGGTATGTGACTTTAACTATTATCTTTGTAGATAATTCAATTACTACTTGAAATCAAGGATTAACTTGGAAGTTTAATATGTACATGAACTAGTGTTTTGGGATTATGGATGAAATGGGTTGAATTCAAGGAATTGAACTTTGATTTCCTTAAATTTGTTTGATTTGCGTTCAATCTTAAGAATGATTCATGGAATAACAAGCTTTTGTGTGACAATCAACCATGTGTAAGATGTATTTATATGATTTTGGGGTATATATTATGGAAGTTTGATTATATAGAAAGATAGAACTTGAATTTTTAATTTGAAGCAAAGATTGATTTGTTTGAGATGGAATTACACTTGAATAATGATAGTTTATCATGTTGTGGGACAATTTTACATGTTTTTGGGTGATTTGAGTTGGAAACCAAGCTTAGAAATGGAAAGAGCAAGAGTTAGAGCAAACAACATTTTCGGATAGCAAAACTGACCCAGAGCTGCACGTGCGGCAATCCATTTCCAGATTCTGCTAAAAAAGCACGTGGTTCCGTACATGCGGCCCGATTCCCGCACGTGCGGGACAGCCCTGTTCAGCCAACTTCAAATAAGCATATCTCTTGCATCCGGACTCCGTTTTAACTGATTCTTGAGCCTAAATTCAAGCTCCGGAAATCTAGTTGTCAATAGTGGTGGTCTCACTCCCAAATTCTTAGTGCAAAAATAGATATGCCCAAAATAGTGAAAGTTGTTCACTTTCTGTCTACCGATTTTGTACCATTTCTTCGTCTAAACCATTTTCCTAACGATTTCTCCTATTTTCTAAGACATGGATTATAACCTATGAAGGACTAATGACTTTAGAACCACCATGGCTAATTGATTAAAGAGCAAGAAAGAGATTGGTTTTATTCTCATATTCTGCTATGTGCATTGTGTTGTAGGTCAAGATGAGGACATCGTCCCATTACTACCGGAAGCTCATCATTGTGAGTAATAGTAGTATAACGATATGTTTTATTTACTTCTTGTGTTTATGATTTACATGTTATGGCTTGTGAATAGCATATACCATGGATATTATGCTTTAATTGAATTAATGGATATGACTGAACGGTAGCATTGATATGGATCTAAGGTCGTTTTGTTCCTATTAATAAAAGTGGGCCTGAGGCCATTATGATATGAATTGTTTATGTCTTATGGCTCTAAGGCCGAGGGAGATGGAGACATGTCGATGTTCCACCTACCCTAGAATGATATGAACCGCATATGACTAATGGCTCTACGACAAAAGAGATGGAGACATGCCGATGTTTCATCTTCCCTACAATGCTTTGGACAGCTGTCGTTATGTGGGCCTAAGGCCGTTCTGTATTATTTGTGGGCCTAAGGCCGTTCTGTATCATATATGGGCCCGAGGCCATTCTGTATCATATGTAGGCCCGATGCCGTTTTGTATTCATGTGGGCCTGAGGTCGTTCCGGAATACAATTATGGATAGGACCTATGTATGGTTTGACATATGCATATTATATTCCTCAAGGTTATGCTCATTCACTTCACCTCCTTACATTGTTATTATTCACTGAGCCTTGCTCACTACGTTTTATGTATATTTATGTAGGTGAGCCATCGAGGATTGACACTAGAATTGTATTGAGGTCTACCTGTTTGCCAAGCCGCCTGGGGTACGCCTCCGTGTTGAGGCCTTAATTTTGATTACTGGGAGTTGTGTAATTTATGGAGTCTTATATAAGTGTGTGTGTGAGATCTGCATAATTCTGTGATTGTACATGTAAACATGGAAGTGTATTTAAAAACCTAAATTTATTTATTTCTTCATGTATGCACAAGCTTAATGGACGTTATCTTTATATTGATATTTGCTTCCACTTATGGCCCCGTATTTGAATAAGTATTCGTGACATTTTGTTTTGAGGCCTATGTACAGGCCGGTCATGGACCAAACTTTTAGGGGCGGGTTTGGGTCGTGACAATTTTTAGGTTTGTTCATTTGTTAGCGCGCATGCTCTCTCTCTCTCTCTCTCTCTCATTGTTTAACCAAAACATTCAAAACTTAAATAAATTTCTATAGTTGTTGAGCAACATCAAGGCTTATTTTCCACTTCTTTTATAAGGAGACCAATAAAACTCGTCCTTCCTAACCTCCAATATATATAACTAGCCTGGCAATGGTACTTCTTGTAAAGTTATACATTGGCAAGTTAAAATTATATGTCCCTGCCCCCTAATAAATTAATGTTAAATATGTGAAGGATAATTTCGGTAGAAAACTAAC